ACTATAATTATAACCCCAATTAGGGCACCTATAACCTTACTTACTAAGTCCCATGAACCTCCAAGTAGGTGATGGTCGACACAAACAGGAATCCAGGAAGGGGCCTATCCTGGCTCCCGCACCCGGAAAGGCCTCAGAGTTGAAGAGGCGAAACCTGAAACATGTAAACTTCTACTTGGAGGGTCAGGGGACTTAGTAAGTAAAGCTATAAGTGCCCTAATTGGGGTTATAATTATAGTTACCTTATTTATAACCCTAGTTACTAAGTCCCCTGATCCTCCAAGCAACACGGCAGTGCGCTTGAAAAAAAAACGCTCCTCAACCGCCTGCACCTATGAGCAAGCTGGCGCCTGACTTGTGATTTGTGCTTGCACCATTCTCGCTGCTCCAGTACGACTCCCACATCCCGAAACACCGAAACTAATCGTAATACTATAACCTTATAGCAGGAATTCCAAAACCCCAAACCCCGAACCCTCGACCCAGGAACCCTAAAACCGTAGACCTTCATACTACTCCTAGCATCAGTGGTACCCTACACCTACCTTACGCCTAAGACCACGGTACTCAAAGTGCTCCTGGCACCCGTCGTACCCAATCCTGCACACAAGTCATACTATCCGTAATGCTCTAAACCTGAAGACTTCTTATACTACTTGGAGGATCATGGGACTTAGTAAGTAAGGTTATAAGTGCCCTAATTGGGGTTATAATTATAGTTACCTCATTTATAACCCTAGTTACTAAGTCCCATGATCCTCCAAGTACCCTGCAAGAAGCGTCATAGAACCCTGTCTTGACGGCTGTAGGACCTTTTGAAGCCCTTCCTCGAAGCCTCCAACCTGCGCTGAGAAGACCGACCCCTGATACCAGTCAAACCGAACGGCCCTAGTTCTAAGCTTGCGGCGATATTCGACCTCCGGGGCGCAGCCGTAGAGGGATGTGGTGAGCAAAGTGAGTTCGCCTGTCGCAGTCACGGGCTTCGGGCTTCTACTAGAGTAGAAGAGTTACGATCAGGGCAAATGCAGGCGTTACTACAGTATAAGGGCCACGATGAGGGTGTAGCGTGGGTTCCGGGTTGGGCAACAGGTCAGCTGTCAAAGCCTTGACAGAGCTCTAAAAACAGATCCGAAGACTGCACTTGTGCATATTGCCACCATCCGAGACTCTCTGTGTACATAGTTGAGAAACGCGGAGGATGTGCATGTCCGCACGTGATCTTTGACTACTGCTGCCCAAAGTTCTACCTGATTCGTCCAAATGCGATTTCTGAAAGCCGGAAACATGTGACCTCAACACAGCCCACAAATAGTCATTAAATAGTCCCCTAAACCCTAAACCCTAAACTCTAAACCCTAAACCCTAAACCCTATAAACCCTAAACCCAATACTCCAAACTACAAACGGCAGACCATGCCTGCGATTTCCTGCACGATCTTGAGCGGCCGCATGTTTTGCCGAACCACTCCAATGTGCTCTTCTCGTGGGACACGCCTCGGACCCAAGAGAAGAACAACAGGGTTTAGGGTTTAGGGTTTAGGGACACGCCTCAGACCCAAGAGAAGAACAACATCTACTGAGTACTGGGCACTATTCGGCAATCACATGCCTCTTTGCAGCAACTACGAAACCCATCATCACCCAGCCCCTGTCCTTGAAGTCTCACCTGAAAACCCCATTGCAGAATCTTAAAACCTTGGTGCAAGATCCTCAACACCCGTGTGGGCCAAGCAACATCTCCATGTAGTTATCCATCAAAATTCTCGTAGCGATCCGGGTCGTAAAGTGATCCTGGGCTCTTGTAGAGGACCGGTTAACCCTTACTTACTCAAAAAAGAACTGCTAAACGCTAAAACTGTGCCTGAACCCCTAACTTCCATTACTAAGCTAGCTTACTACAACAAACCCCGAAGTTCCTCAACAAGAGCCCAAGATCGTGCAAGAATGCGTCCAGGTGGATCGAGGGATACAAGCGACGCCTTGGTTTGAAAAAACGAGTACTTGGAGGATCATGGGACTTAGCAAGTAAGGTTATAAGTACCCTAATTGGGGGTTATAATTATAGTTACCTTATTTATAACCCTGGTTACTAAGTCCCATGTTCCTCCAAGTAGGAGAGCCTTTGGGTTTCGGGTTACCGTAAAGGGTTCCAGGGTTGAGGGTCTAGGGTTTCGGGCGACATACAAGAGTCATGTTAGCTGTGTTGGACATGGGGTTGAGGGGGGGTTTAGGGCTGGGGCTTTAGGGGATTAAGGTTTTGGGAGTAGTGGGCTTTGGTGTTGTTCGAGCGCCTGGTGCTCCGGCGCTTCAGGCTACTCGGGGCATCTTATCGGGTTTTGCAAAAGTTCCAAAACTTTCAATAAGGTGTTACAATGAGGTCGTTTACGCTTTTAGGTCTACTTAAAGAGTCAAGGGACTTCGCGAGTAGGGTTCTGAGTTAAGGTTGCTATGCTTACAAATCACCTCGACCCTGGCCGAAGCGGTGACAGGTTCCCACAGCGATTCCCTGTTTCCCCACGTCTTAATCCCCTTCCCGGTGACCCACCCGCCCCCCCCGCCCACCCGGGTCGGCAAGCCCTACGTCCAGACATTCTGCTCGCGGAGACTGGGCTTGGCGGGAGTCCCCCCCCCAGTTTGGGCGTTACATCTGCTCTTGCAACCCCTAGGTTACATCTTTATAGTAACGTCTGTAGGATAAAGCAGGGCATGTGCCACCTTTCGCGTGGGATTGTTGCTCAGAGCCTCAGCATGAAAACATTTACTGACACTAAAAACATGAAAAACGCACATTCTGAAGCAAATGCACTCATTCACGCAAGACCCTTACCGGTGTGACCTACCTGTTGCTTTCCGAAGCAATGCAACTGCTTCAGGTCCAGCCGGGCCGAGGCGGACAACGCGAAGCGTTTCAAATTATTTCGAACCCTCCTGCGGGGTTCTTGCAACCTTACTTGCTCCTCTGATCCTCGAGAGGTATACGGCATTTGCAGTGCCAGTACGGTATGATTAAGGCCGCCACACTTCACGGTAGCCCTCCGCAATCAAGCGGGTTCCGGGATTGTGCTTTGCCTTGGGCAAACTAAAACCGTCAAGTGCCAACAACGTGGGAGAAATCTTGCAGGAGTGCTAGTTGCTCGCGAATGACTTGCAGAAATGCCATCTCGTTGTCCTGCGAATTTAAGTGAGCACAACACTGACCCTCCTCGATGGGATCCACATACTGCTACTCTTCGGACTCAAATGTGGATGGACAGCCAATGCTGAATGCGGTTTCAGGCATCAGGGCAGCAAGAACTAAGATGCCAAAGAAAACTGTTCTTGTTTGCTACCATTCGCGGGATTGTATAACTAAGCACTGCAAAGTTTTGAAGCCGGGGAGCATCCAGTGAGACAAGAGTGCGTAACATTTGTCTTAGCAGGTCTTTGAATTTTTTCCACCGCGAGTGTCATGGTACATCTTGCGTGTTCCACATCATGCTGGTCATCTGTTCATCCTCATACTCCCACTCTTACGCCCTCTTGCTCCTACTGCTACTGCTACTGCGACTGCTCCTGCTACTGTGACTGCAACCGCAACTGCGACCGCGACCGCGACCGCTACACTCCCGAAACCGCTACCCCTACCGCTACGTACTGCTACTTTTGCTACTGGTACTGCAACTGCTACTGCTACTGCTGCTGCTGCTGCTCCTGCTCGCGCTACGGCTGCTTGTGCTGCTGTTGCTTATGCTGCCGCTGCTACGGCGGCTGCTCCTGCTACTGCCACTGCCTCCGCAACCGCGACCGCGATCACGACCGCGACTGTTACCGCTACTGCTGCTACTGCTACGTCTACTGCTGCTGCTACTGCTGCTGCTGCTGCTACTGCTGCTGCTGCTCCTGCTCCGGCTTCTACTCCTGTCCTGCTACTGCTCCTGCGACAGCACTGCTACTGCCACTGCTACCACTACTACCACCACCACTTCCTGTCTTCACAACAACGGCAATGGTTGTATAGCCTGGAACAATAATGGTCTTAGAATCTGCGGATTAAGCAGTAACACGACCCTTTCAAAAGAGTCTCCTGCGTCCGAATCGGAGGAAAAGAGTGAATGGCTTCGAACGTCTCCAGGTAAGTCGAGAGGATGCTGTTGATCTGGGGATTGATGACCACCACATGAGGTAGCTGCAGGATGTCCTTTCAAAAGTAGGTAGTCAGGGTAGCGTGAAATGGGAATCACACCTGAAAGTCGTAACAAACAAGACGCCAACATCCCAGGATTTCCGAATATTTCCAAAGGCAAAATAACCGAAGCACCACACAAGCACTCGCGATATGAGAAGCTGCTTCGCAATCAAGGTGGTCTCAAAACAAACACCAATCAAAAAGCACGGCTTGGCTGCGCCAGCAAATCTATCGCTTCACACGAGGCATCCAAACGCACTTGTCGAGGTCATGCGGGTGACGCGACTGTCCTCAATACGCCTGGCAAAACGAATCGGCAGCTGATCGTGTAGCCATTGCCTCGGCTACCACGCTCATGATCATCATTGTAAATGCCATCATCATGACCACGACGATGCTCGTGATCATGAGCCAGGCCGGTGCAAGTAGTCTGGCTAGACATACATGATATAATTGCACCACTCCAAGCAAAAATGGAGGACTGGAGGACTCCAAAGCACTCGTAACCAAGACTGATACCAGAAGTGCTCGCACTGCGAGTTAGCAGAACAAAGAGAATATCAATCCGACGGTCCGCGGCAAGTAACACTGCTAGCAATTGCGACAGTAGCATCCAGAGCCACAAAAGAGCGGGGACCGGAGCATCAGGAAATGGACTCCCCAAAGCAATGTTGGAAGTATGCGCCTTTCTAGGGACCCTTAAGGGTACATATAGGGTATATGGTAGGTGTATAAGGATCCGAGGGCTGTAAGGTTAAACCCTAGTCAAAGGTTAATGGGACTTAATAACTGGAGGATTTTAGGAGTGCCGAGCCGCTGCTTCTGGGAAGCAGAAACCCGAGTAGCATACGGCCTTAATGATTCGAATAGGACCGAATAGGATTTTTGACAAAAAAAGGACACATATATTTCCAGAGACTATCAAAAAAGGACACATATATTTCCAGATATAAGACTATAAGGGCACACTTTCACTGAATGTTCAGACAGTTGTTGTGGTATCCCCCGGAGCAAGCCACACCTTTGGTTCCATCTGAGTCGCGCAGTTCGAATGCAGGATTCTGCATCAGGTTTGGTACTCTTCATCAACCTGGGTCGAAGCATCCCTAAACCCTGAACCCTAAACCCTAAACCCTGAACCCTAAACCCTAAACCCTAAACCCTGAACCCTAAACCCTAAACCGCGTTTCCACCAGGCCTTGCTGTCTCTAAGCGGTCTTCGCGAGTGCAGCTCGAGGCATCGGCTTCGGATCTGGGACTGGTCTTAGCCCGGGAGTTGTTTGAAGCTCCCCTATTTTCCCTAAACCCTCAACCCTAAACCCTAATCCCTAAACCCCAAACCCTACACCCTAAACCCTCAACCCTAAACCCTAAACCGTAATCCCTAATCCCTAAACCCGATGCCATTTGCGAGCTTGCGGGCATCTTCGTGAGCTTCCCAGAGAGCCCAATACCCCTTAATTAAGGAATATACCTTAAATCATAATATTAGGGCCCCTAATTATAATTTAAGGTATATTCCTTATTTAAGGGGTAGTGGGCTCTCTGGGTTCGAACCCTGGCATGAGTCCTGAGGTAACTGAGGCGAGGGCTGCGACAAAGTCAGGCTGACGCACTCGGCTCGCGCGGCTCGCTTGATGCTCAAAATGTTCCTGGGTTTAGGGGGTAATAATTTTGGCTCCTATGTTAGGGTGATGCTTTATTCAACATTAGGGCTGACTTGGATCTGTCTAGCACCGCTTTTTGTTCGAAGAAGGGGGTTCAGTGGCTTTTTAGGTTTCGGGTCGAGCGAGGGCTCTGGGCTATTCAGGCCTTGAGGGTTCAGTCCAGGACACCGACCAACCTTGCAAACCCCAAATCCTTGCACCCTAAACCGACCCGTAACTGTCATCCGAAAGCTTCTACAGGTGCAGGGGCCTTCGAGGGACCAGGGCTGGGGACCTTCAAGAAATGGACCAGGGAGCATTTTTTCGCAGCATTAGTCTGTGATGCAAAAGCGCAAAGAAGGTTGTGTTGCTATCTCGCACCAGCGAGTGATCCTGCGGCACGTGCTGTCAACATTTGTTGTTGGGAGGCTCTCTCGCTTGCAAGGGACCCTCAACGTGCAATCAAAGGCAGGCTGGTGGCGGCTAGTGAGAATGATTCGGTTTATCTATACATATCTACAGGTCGAATGAAAGGATGCTGGCCCGGATTGGCTTTGCCAAGCCCAGGCAACGCGTGATTTCCTGTACGAGGGGTCCCCCCCCC